GGGCTGGGAAGGTGGCTCAGTGGTAGAGTGCTTGCCTTGCATGCATGAGGCCCTGGGTTCAATTCCCAAGCACCACATAAATAAAAAGAAAAAAGCCGGAAGTGGTGCACTGTGGCTCAAGTGGTAGAGTGCTAACCTTGAGCTGAAGAACTGAGGGACAGCGCCCAGGCCCAGGGTTCAGGCCCCACGACCAGACCCCCCCCAAAAAACAAACAAAACCACCAGAAAAGCAGAAGTGGCGCTGTGGCTCAAGCAGTAGAGAGCTCACCTTGAGCTGAAAAGCGCAGGGACAGCGTCCAAGCCCAGGAGGCTGAGCTCTGAGGATCACAGTTCAAAGTCAGCTCAGGCAGACTCTCATCTCCAATAAACTACTCAGGAGAAGCGGGAAATGGCACTGTGGAAAGTAGTAGAGTGTAAGCCCTGAGCAAAAGAAGCTCAGAGACAGCAACCAGGCCCTGAGTTCAAGCCCCAGAACTGGCAAAAAACAAACAAAAAGTCTTATAGACTTTCTGTCTTGACTGGCTTTGAACCACAATCCTGATTTCAGCCTCCTGAGTCACTAGCACTGCTGGTGTCAGCCATCAGCATCCAACTTCAGGCTCTTTAAAAATATTATTTTTTTGGGGGGGGGAGGTCTGGTTGTGGGGCCTGAACTCTGGGCCTGGGCGCTGTCCCTCAGCTCTTCAGCTCAAGGCTAATGCTCTACCACTTGAGCCACAGCGCCACTTCCGGCTTTTTTCTTTTTACTTATGTGGTGCTGAGGAATTGAACCCAGGGCCTCATGAATGCAAGGCAAGCGCTCTACCACTGAGCCACCTTCCCAGCCCCTAAAAATATATGTTTTGTACAGCAGGTTGAGCTTCCCAGCAAAATTAAGGAAGCACAGAGATCCTCTCCTCTCCACGCACGCACGCCCTTTGTACTGTGGCTGTGAACCTCCTGTTGACGCTGCTTACACTTTGCCCCACAGCTGGGATGATGTGTAACGAGCCCAGCCTTTTCTGTGGAGATGAGGTCTTGTAAACATTTTAATCAGCTTGGCCTTGGCCCATGATCCGTCTGACCTCTGCCCCCTGAGCAGCTGAGATTCAAATATGAGTCACTGTGCCCAACTTTTCACCCTTTTTTAATGTTGATTTCTTCCTGACCGGCTTGATCTCTGTGAGACTCTGCAGGCCTTCATGTGGTAGCCTTGTGTCACCATAGATACAAGTATTGCGGAAATGGCTGGGGAGATGTCTGGTTCACCCTGGAGGTCTTGGGCTTCTATCTGTCAAGAGATTCCCCAGCCCGGCGTCGGTGGCTCACGCCTGTCATCCTAGCTACTCAGGAGGCTGAGATCTGAGGATTGCAGTTCAAAGCCAGCCCGGGCAAGAAAGTCCATGAGACTCTTATCTCCAATAAACCACCAGAAAACCAGAAGTGGCGCTGTAGCTCAAGTGGTAGAGTGCTTGCCTTGAGCTGAAGAGCTGAGGAACAGTGCCCAGGCCCAGAGTTCAAGACCCACAACCAAAATAAAAAAAAAAAACAGGAAAAAATTCCCCACTCTGATGGCAGCTTGGGCCATTCTTGCTTACAGGCTGACAAGTCTCACTGCGGATGCATTTTAGGTTTTATCTCACATTGTTTAAGTGAATACACAGAGACAGAGGTGGTTGGAAGGCTCAGTGCCGGGTGCCCTCTCCCATAGCTGGTGCGAGCATCTTATGCAACTATAGCACCAGAGCAAAACCCAGAACCGGACTCTGCTTTAGGCCCCACCAGTTGTAGTCTGAAGACCAGTGTGATCTTTTTTGTTGTTGTTGGTTGTGGGGCTTGAACTCTGGGCCTGGACACTGTCCCTCAGCTCTTCAGCTCAAGGCCAGCGCTCTACGCGCTCTACGGTTCTACCGATTGAGCCACAGCGCCACTTCCGACCAGTGTGATCTTATCACAAGGCCTCCAGCAACCGTCACTCTGTGGTGGCCAGGCTAACTCAACCTTCAGGAGACCTCTGTAGCCACGCCCACCCTGCCCCCACCTCTTCTCCCTCCTCAATCCAGACAGGCTGTGGAGTTATACCTAGTGTAAAAAACTAATCAATATGAATATAACTAGGTGGTTTGGGGCAATCTTGTCACTCAAAACAATTTCCTGGCTAAATGCTGGTGACTCATACTTGTAATCCTAGCTACTCAGGAGGCAGTTCAAGGACAGCCCAGACAGGAAAGTGTGTGAGACTCCCAATTAACCTCTAGAGAACAGGAAGTGGATCTGTGGCTCCAAGTGGTAGAGAGCTCGCCTTGAATGAAAAAACTCATGGCGGCGCCCAGCCTGGAGTTCAAGCCCCAAGACCGACAAAAAACAACAAAATTTCCTTGAGGGCTCTGCCTTGCCAGCTCGGTTTATTACTGAGCTGAATCCCAGGGCACACGTATCGCACTAGTTTAAACAATCACCTCGAGAGAGACGGGCGTGAAATAACCTGCTAGGAACATTCCTACACCTTCCTCCAGGACAAATGAGTATCTCTGGAATAGATGAGATCAGCAGAGGCGTTAGCTGGAGCCCTCCAGGGAAACAGACCGGCGGGGGAGGGAGGCACTGCTGGAAGGAATTGGAGGCTGCAAGTCCATCATCTGCAGAGCAGACGGCAGGCTGGAGACTCGCCAGGCAGGAGGAGGGGAAGAGGTTATCTAGGGGTACGATTTCTTCTTCTTCTGGGGGACTTTGGTCTTCTCCCTTAAGACCTTCAACTGAAGCTGGGTGCTGGGCTCACACCTGTACTCCCAGCTGCTTGAGAAGCTGATTCCTGGGGAATGATGGTTTGAAGTCAGCCAGGGCAGAAAAGTCACCTCTAATTAACCAGCAAAAAGCAGCTGGAGGTAGTAGAGCACCAGCACGAGCAAGCAAGCCAAGTAAGAACCAGGCCTGTGAGTTCAAGCCCCAATACAGGGGGTGGAAAAGAGATTGAAAACCAAAATATAATTTTTGTGTGTGTGCGTGGGTCTTGGGTTTTGAACTCAGGGCCTGAGCGCTGTCCCTCAGCTCTTTTGCTCAAGGCAAGTGCTATCCCCCCGCTCTGAGCCACAGCACCAATTCCAGAAAATGTAACTATTAATCATAACTAAAAATACAGCCACAGCAGCATCTAACCTGGCATTTGGCCAAGCAGCCCGGCTCCACAGCAGTCACACGCACATACAACCAACTGGGCGCCGCCGGCGCCTGGGCTTCCCTAGCCACCCTAGAGGCTGGCATTAGTTTATTTTGAGAAAAGGTCTCACTGTGAAGTCTGGCTGGCCTCAAACTCTCAACCCTGCCTTTACCTTCCCAGTGCTGGAGTAACAGCTGTGCACCCCTTCCCCCAGCCCACATAAAAGTTTCTTTTTGTTTTGTCGGTCGTGGGGCTTGAACTCTGGGCCTGGGCGCTGTTCCTCAGCTCTTTAGCTCAAGGCTAGCGCTCTACCACTTGAGCTACAGTGCCACTTCAGGTTTTCTGAGTGATTTGTTGGAGATAAGAGTCTCACGGTCTTTCCTGACTGGGCTGGCTTTGAACCGGGATCCTCAGCTCTCAGCCTCCTGGGTAGCTAGGACTAGAGGTGTGAGCCACTGGCGCCCAGCCCCACATTAAAGTTTCTAGGAAAGGCCAGGATCTCCCTGGCTGGAGGCCAACCTCCCAGCCCTGTAGGTAGGGAAGGCCTGGAGGCCGCGCCCGCCGCCCCTCAGGCAGCTGTGGTTCCTGCATGCTGAGCTGCTTTCATTCCTCCTGGGAACTCGCGTGTACAGCTACGGGTATGCAACCCGGGTATGCAACCCGGCTTCTGTGTCCTCCAGCCTGTCCCACCCCGGGCCATTTTAGCTCCTCTGATGGGATGTAGTGACAGCTCTTTTCAGTCTTTGTTCCTACTCCAGGGACGGCTAACCATGCTGAACATCTTTTGCTGTACGCATCTGCCACCTGTGTTCCCGCCTAGTGAAGTGGCTGCCATTCTTTTGTGATGTCCACGTGCTGGGGCTCTGCTCCTGGGTGGAGCAGGACTCTTGGATCTAGTGGTAGTGCTCAGGCTCCTTCTACCCCAACAATGCCCATGCCAGCTGCTAGTGGGAGGACTAGAAGGGGGAGTATCCGAGTCTCTCCCTGCGCCCCTCTCCACACACTCAGGACAAGCTCATGTGTGAGGACTGAGGCCTAAGCAATCCTCAGACCTGGAGAATGCCCTGCGGTGGGCATACTTTGCCCACTGTGCCTCAGGGCCTGGCCAGTAGGCCTGTGCTGGCACCTGGGGACAAGGACCTCCTCGGGAGAGAGACGCACCTGAGCCACCCCCTGCAGACCATCAGTATTGCCCATGACCTGGGTCACAAGTGGCTGACTCCTTGAGGCTCAGCCTGAGGTACAACAAGAAGCCAGGAGGACAAAGACCATGTGGCTTTAGGGGTCTGTGAGAAGGGTAGGCAAGCCAAGCTCTTGGTCCTACTAGGGACCAGGGACCTGCCACCCCCACCACCCCCGGCCCAACTGCAAGGGCACAATCCTTAACCTCCATTCTAGGGCTCACCCCAACAGGCACAGGCAGAGCCCACTCTTTTTTCTCCCGGTCGTGAGGCTTGAACTCTGGGCCTGGGCGCTGTCCCTCAGCTCTTCAGCTCAAGGCTAGCGCTCTACCACTTTGAGTCACAGCACCACTTTGGCTTTTTCTGCTTATGTGGTGCTGAAGCACGGAACCCAGGGCCTCAGGCATGCGAGGCAAGCGCTCTACTACTGAGCCATCTTCCCAACCCAGAGCCCACCCTTAAAGCCACATCCCGCATGCCCTCCATCTGTTCCCAGGGAGAACTTGTCAGATGGTATTTTTGGTTGAGAGGGGAAGCTGCTTGTGGGGTCCTGAGCACTGGGTCTCTAGGCCACTAGTCCACCCTGGGGACCACATCTGGCCGGTTCAGGGCACCACGAATGATGGCAGCAAGATGGGTGGGGCCAGCTCCCCCTGCTGGACACTACTAGAAGCACAGCCCAGTGTGATCAGTGCTTTTACTAGGGACCAGGGGCCTGGTCAGAAAGAGGGGACAGGAGAGCTGTAAACATGCCCCTCCCACCTGAGGACTGGTAAACACGAGGTGGGCCCCGCTGTCCACTAGGTGGCAGTAGCAGCTTCAAGTTGTGCTGGAGCAACACAGTCCCACCGAGACCAGCACCTCAGGCCAAAACAGGCTGGCCATGGGTGGACCGAGGCGCCCACTCATGGCCGGTGTCCAGGCCAGCGGTGACCTTCACGCATCCCAGTGAGACACGTCCAGCTAGATGAAGGTGGAGTCCAGAGGACCAGCATCCAGCTGGCTGAGAGCCCGGGCCTCGAAGAGCTGCTTGATGAGGGCAGACTTCTCCTGCTCCAGCTGGGTGATGCGCTCACTCTTGTCTGTCACCTCCTGTGTGTGCGCGGGTGTCAGGGCCAGCAGGCCTCCAGCCGGTCCCCCTCCCCGTCCTGGCCCTTCACCTCACCTGGGTAAGGAGCCGGTTCTGCTCCTTCAGCATGAGGATGGTCTGCTGCTGCCAGCTTGGGGCCAAAGGTGGGCTGGGGGCCGGAGGGGAGCACAGGGCCCCTGAGGAAGAGGGTGCCGCCTGCGGGAGGGCGGGGTCAGCTGGCCTCTCCAGGACCCGGCGAGGGGCAGCCCAGCAAGGGTGCGGGGAGGGTCCTGAGCACTCACCCGGCCGGCACAGGCGGCCGCCAGCAGCTCCCCCAGGCAGCGGGCCACCTCTTGTACTTTGGGAAGCAGCTGCCCCAGCGGGCGGGGACTCCCCGCAGCCCCCAGGTCCTGAGAGAGAATCAGGAGAGCTGGGCGGGGAGGTCTCGGCATGGCACCCTCGCACCCACACCCCTGTTGTTCAGAGCCCAGAGGTGTCACCGATGGACCGAGGACCCTGGGGTGTCGCTGGCCGGAGTTTGGCCCAAGCCCCGGGGGCCTAGGTGGGGAGGCCCCGCACTCACGTCCCCGGCTCTGCCCCGGCTCAGGCGGTGCTGGCGCTCCCGCACGCGCTGCAGCTGCTGCTGGTACCAGTCCCGGCCCCGCACCATCATCTCCAGACCCTGCAGGAGCACCTCCTGCTCCCGCTCCAGCTCTTTCATCTGCTTCAGCTGCAGGCAACATGGGAGTGTGCAGCTGGGCTCGCACCAGCGGGCACTCCCACACTGCACCGCACCGCGCTCCGGGCCGCAGGTTCAGGTCCAGCCTGTGCTTGTGCCCGTGCACAGCAGCGCCCGGACACGAACGCCCGCTCCTGAGCTGCCTCCGGCCCCGCCTTGAGAGCGCACCCCGAGGTTACAGCTCATCTCAGGGCAGGATGGGGACTGACCCCTGACCCCTCCCCTCTGGGATTCAGCTTGGGGCAAGCACGGTAGTGCCCACACCTAGTGTCCCCACACGTCCCTCAGGGATGTACTCCTGCCAGAGGCCCCCAGAACCCACACTTGGCCGCTCCTCCCTGGCCTCCTGGACACCATGGAGTCTGAGTTCCTGTCCCTCTTACCAGGTCACAGTCCACGCCACTGGTGATGGTGTGCCTCCGCCGCTCACCTCGGGCCCTCGGGGCCCGCCGCGCATCCCCCACACCTGCCCCCAGGGCCCTGTGGACCTCTGCGCCTGTGGGGAGAGGCCAGGGCTCGTCTCTACTCTGAGCCTGACCAGAGGGGCTCCATGTTCCAGCATCCTCACCCCCCCACCCCCCTGTGAGGAACAGCCCACCTTGGAGGCTCTCAAAGGCTCCTAGGTCAAAGGTCAGGGATGAGATGGGTGAGGTGGGCCTCGGGTCCTCTCTGACCTGCACAGGACCCTTGGGTGCAGAAGCTGGCACAGGGAGGGGACAAGGAGGGACTAGGGGGCTAGGTGACAGAGCCTTCATTCTTTAGGGACCTCAGTAGAAAGTGGTCTTATGGGCCAGGCACTGGTGGCTCACGCCTGTAATACTATCTACTTAGGAGGCTGAGATCTGAGGATCTTGGTTCTAAGCATGCCTGGGCAGGAAAGTCCCTGAGACTCCTCTCTAATAAACCACCAGAAAACCAGAAGTGGCGCTGTGGCTCAAGCGGTAGAGCACTCGCCTTGAGCTGAAGAGCTGAGGGACAGCGCCCAGGCCCAGAGTTCAAGCCCCACAACTGACAAAAAAATAAATAGAATACAGAGCTGGGAAGGTGACTTAGTGGTGATGTGCTCACCTAGCATGCATGAAGTCCTGGGTTTGAGTCCTCAGTACCACATGCATAGAAAAAGCTGGAAGTAGTGCTGTGGCTCAAAGTGATAGAGTGCTAGCCTGAGCACAAAGAGGCTTAAGAACAGTGCCCAGGTCCTGAGTTCAAGCCCCATGACCAACAACAACAACAGAGAGAGTGGTCATGTGTGCAAGACAGCATGGTCATGTGGTCATATGTGTGCGCCAGAAGGCATGCTGCCACCAGACAGCAGTGTCCTGAGGTCTCGAACTGCTGCCTGGCTCACTGAGGCTCATGGGATGCCTCGTGGCGGGAGAGCCCTCTGCTCTTACAAGCAGAGTGCAGGTGTGGAGGAACATGCCTCCCCCGCCCCCCCCGCCCTCCCCCCCTCCGCCAGTCCACGCCCCAGGGCTTGGCAGCTGCAGGCAGGTATGTATGCTGGGAGGGATTCTGGCTCCAAGCAGGCCTCAAAGCTCGTCCCGACCTGCCTCACCAGCAGCCAGCAGCTCCGGGCATGGCTGGAGAGCACAGGAGGCAAGGGAGCGCAGGCAGGGAGCTGGTTCTGTGGGGGAATGCCTAGACACCTGAGCCCGACAAGCCCCGGGAAGGAGACTCCAGACTCTGGGCTGGAGACTTGAAGTGCTTCACTGGGGAGCTAGGTTGGTTTCACTCCTTCTCAGGCACCATGGTCTTCTCAGGGCCGTGGTGTGCGCGGAGGAGTCACGGCCTGCAGCCTGCCCAGCGATGGAGGTGAGCGTTGCCCAGTGGCAGTCGTGGGCACTGACTGGGCACACGGCCTTCAGAGGCGTGGGACAGCTGGCCCAGAACCACCCAGGGTTTCAGGGTAGAGCAGGCCTAGACCACAGGCAAAGAGTCTGCCCATCACAGGCAATCCGCAGCTGATTTCAAACTGCACAGCTACACGGACAGTGTCTCTGGAGTGCTCCCTGAGTGAGGGACCAGCTATGCCCAGGAGACATGAGGACAGGGCTGTGTGGTGCCCAGTGTAAAGCTGACCAACGCCTCTCCTAGGGAGGCAGAGGGAGGGGTGCTGGTGTGGCCGGCTCGGCAGAGGACTGGCCGCGTCGCGGGCAGACGCGCTGTGCCGGGGCAGGTGCACAGGCTGAAGGGGCTCAGGGCTCCTCCAGGGGCCGGGCCCCCACAACCAACCATAACGCAGGTCCTGTTCCCAAGGCAGCCATGGAAGGGGGGCAGTCAATAGACTCTTGTCCCTGCCAACTGGACCGGAAGCCAGAAGAGCCCACTGGAAGTCCCGGGGGCGGGGGGTGCTGGGAACGTGGCTCAGTGGTAGAGCGCTTGCCTCGCATGCACGAGGCCCTGGGTTCGATGCTGTGGCTCAAGTGGTAGAGCGCTGGCCTGGAGCTGAAGAGCCGGGTTCAGGCCCCACGATCGCAAGGACGAGGTCCCCGAGGCCGTCCTCGGCACCCTCGCGGCTCCTGGCCCCAGGCCCCCCGGGCGTGCCCGGGATCCCGTGCGGGCCGCAGGGGCGCAGGGCGGTGGGCGCCGCCCTCCCGCCCGCCCCGGGCGGGGCCCGCGAACTCACCGGCGTCGGCGCCCGGGCTCCGCTCCCGCCCGGCCGGGCCGCCCGGGCCCGCGGGCGGGGGACGCGCGCTCGCGGGCTGCGGCTTCCGCTCCGGGCCGGTGCGCGGCGGCGGCGGCGGCGGCGGCGGGGCCCCGGGCCGCCCGGCCTCGGCGGGCAGCAGCGAGGTGCGCAGGCCGGCCACGAAGCGCTCGAAGGTGAGCAGGCCGCTGGCCGGGGCCTCGCGGCGCAGCCCCTCCAGCACGCCGCGGGGCAGCTCGCGCGCGTCGGCGCCCCGCCAGCGGGACTCGATCTCGCGCAGGTGCACGCAGCCGCGCCGCCGGTCGTCCAGGATGTCGAAGAGCGTGCGGAGGCTCTGCAGGAAGGCGCGCGGCAGGCCCTCGGTCCCGGGCGCGGCGGGCGGCGGGCGGCCGCGCTCGGCCGTGGCGGCCGCGGCCATGGGGGCCGGGGCTCGGCGCCCGGCTCGGCGCCCGGCTCGACCCCCGGCTCGGCCCCGCGCAGCCGCGCTCAGCCCCGCGTCGGGACCGGCGCGCGGCCCGCCGCGACAATAGCGGCTACTTTTGAACGGGGCTCTGCCGCGGCGCCGGCCTCATTAGCATCCGCGGCGCCCATTGGCCGGGCCCGGCTGATCTGCTTCCTGATTGGCTCGGCGGCCCCCAGCCCCAGTTTGATTTTTCCCGTCCGAGTCCCGGCGCGCCGCGCGCTGCGCTCCCGGCTCGGCCCTGCGGGGCCCGGGAGGGGCCGGGCCGGGCGGGGAGGCCGGCCGGGCGGGACCCGGACGCGACTCCCCGGCTCCCGCGGTAGCTCCCCTCTGCCCGCCACGCCCACCGGCCTTGGGCTCCGGCGCGGCCCGCTCTCGCCCTGCCGCGCCGCGGAGGGCGGGGTTTGGCGTCCCCGGGCCACCTCGGGGTGAAGCCCTGGTCGCCGGCGGCTCCGGCCGCGAGCGCCGGATGCCGGGGCTCCGCTCCCTAGAACTGGGAGGCCCCTAGAGAATCAGAGGCTCCAGCCAGCTGGGCGCTGTCCCCACAGAGGCCTCTCTGTCCCCCTGCGAACCCGGGCCTCGGGAAGGACAAAGCGGCTTTCTCCGGTGTCCCCAGGCGCCCGCCCGGCGGCGGCGCCTGGCTCTCCCGGTCCCTCCGCGGGGCTCCCCGGGCGGACGTCGCCAGCTATTCCGGCCCTCGTGGTCCCGCGCGCCCCGGTTACTGTGGGAGGCACGGAGGTGCCCAGGGGTGGCCTGCCCCCCTCTGGCCCCCCGGGGAAAGGAGAGGCGCCCGGGAAGGCTCCCTCCTCCCCTCCTGGCTGAGCTCGGCGCAGATTTCAAATCTCTTCCCAGGAACTTGATTCCCCTGCTTCAAAGTCTCCAACCTTGGATGCCTATCAGAAGGTGGCCTTCAAGGACACTTAGTGCTGTTTGGGCACAGGGCAGGGCCACCCTAGGGCCTGACATTAACCTGGCCCATCACGTTGCTCAGTGGCCATCACACAGAACCCTTAGCTGGAGAGACTGCCATCAAAATGCCAGGTTGAGTTGGATGCAGTGGCTCACGCCTGTCATCCTACCCACTCAGGAGGCTGAGATCTGAGGATCATAGTGCAAAGCCAGCCTGGGCAGGAATGTTCATGAAACTCTTATCTTCAATTAACTACCAAAAAAGCCACAAGTGGAGCTGTCCTGAGCCTCAAGCCCCAGGACAGGCAGACAGACAGGCAGGCAAGCAGGCTCACTCACACACACACACACACACACACACACACACACACACACAGGCAAGCAGGCTCACACACACACACAGAGCAAAGTCTGATAGTCTGATACCAGGCCAGGAGGAGGCTTACAGATGGACAGGGCTAGGTACAGCTCTGTGGAACTGAAGCAGAGATTAGTGTTGGTGTTACAGCCAGCAACACCAGTGCAGCTCAGGACAACAGAGCCAGCAGTGCCCAGGCCAGGCCAAAGCGCTAGATAAACCTGAGCACACTTACAGAAAAAGGGAAAACATTTCAAAGCAGCCACAGCCCAGGGGAAGTGTCCTCAGCTGTCCTCCTGTGGACCTTCCCACGGTCTCTCGCTTGGCCCTGATAGAAGACCCAGAAGAGACTGGAGTCAGTGCCTGGCTTTGGTCGTGGGACTGTCCATTCTTCACTCCCCAGCATCCCATCCCAAACTCAGACCTATTTCCTCCTTCCATTTAGCCTGGCCATTCTGCTGATGTGGGGAACTCAGTTTTGTCCCTCTCTAGGGGTCTTCCAGAATCCAGGCCAGGTCTGGGGCCCATGCAGTCCCTGGCTTTTCAAGGCTTACATCTGGGGTATAATCCTCACTGTGCCAGCCCAGGGTTCCTTGGGGAAAGCTGGGCAGCAACCCCCTGCTCCCTGATAGAGCCTAGAACTGGCATGGACCAGTGCCAGAAAGTTACCCAGTCCTCTGAGCCTTCCTTGGGTTTCTTTGGTCTGCCTGTGGGACCTGTTCCTCCTGACCTTTGGACAAGGCCCTCAGGCAAAGATATTGGTTGGTGGTCCACACATCCTGCCAAAACTCACAATGGTCTGTGGGGGTCTGCCCAGGAAGGCTGGGTCTTCTGGTCCCTAAAGTGTTGATGCAAACACTTGGTTTTGTTTCACAGCTTCTTATCTAAGCTCCAACTCCTACCTTGAGGCAGGATTTGGGAGTCCTCAGACCTCGAAGGCTCAGAGGCAAACCCTTGATATCTGTTTTAAGAAGCACACGGACCCTCCCCGGCGGAGCGGCCAAGGGAGACCCGGGCTCTCGGGGGCTCTGGCCTGGGGCAGGCGCTGGCTGGGCCCAGCGGGTTCCATCTCCGGTCCGACCCTCCGCTGCATGCGTCCCAGCAGCGCTTCCATGGTGCAGGTGCTGGGCAGGTCTGGTTCACTCTCAGGGCTGGCGCCCTGGGGTCGTCACGCCCCCGGTGTGGTGGCCGAGGCGTGGCCGCTGTGTGCGGGGCTCTGGCTGAGCAGTGAGCCACGTCCCGGTTTGGTGCGTGTACTTCTCGCGGAGGGATCCGGGCAGAGAGCGAGGGCCGGAGGCAGGGCTCGTTTCTGGGGCCTGAGCAGGCTCCTCCGGCCTCCCGGCGCCCTGGGCCCCCGCCCCGGCGGCCCGGGGTGAATTAGGCACTGACCCCGGGCGGCCCGCGGCGCGGGGCTCCGGGGCGGGAGTGGGATGAGGCTGGCTGGCCTGCGCGCCGGGCCAGAGGTCGCAAGATACCTTCTTCCCCAGCGCAGCGCCCGGGCCTCGGAGGTTGGCCAAGCAATAGGGACCCGGCCAGCGGCGGCCCCGCGGCGGACACCGGGCTTGGGGCGGGGCGGGCGGGCCGGCGACGGGGCGGGGCCAGGGCCTGCGGAGGCGGGGATTGCGAGGGCCCGCCTCCTGGGTTAGCCCCGCCCCCGTGATGCTGGTCGGAGGAAGCCCGCGGGTCACGAGTGCCGGCAGAAGGGCAGGAACGGGCGTGGCCGAGACGAGGCTCCTCCCCTCGGCGAGCCCCGCCCCCGGCCCCTTAATGCCGGTTGGAAGAAGCCCGCGGTTACGAGGTTGGCGCGCCGGGCCGGGCCGTGGGCGTGGCCTGAGCGAGGCTCCACCCCCTCGGCCAGCCCCGCGAGGGCGGTCGGAAGAAGCCCGCAGGTTGAGGACGGCTGAAGGGCCGGGCCGGGCCGTGGGCGTGGCCCGTGCGAGGCTCCTCCCCCTCGGCGAGCCCCTCCCCCGATCCCGTGAGGCGGGTGGGAAGAAGCCCGCGGTCACGAGTGCGTGCGGGGCCTCGGCGACATGGCTTCGGAGCCGGACGTGCGCGCGCGGCTGCGGCGTGCCGGCCAGGAGCACCTCCTGCGCTTCTGGGCCGAGCTGGCGCCGGCGGCCCGCGCGGCGCTGCTGGCCGAGCTGGCGCCGCTGGAGCCGGACGCGCTGCGCCTGCACTGCCAGCGGGCCGCCGCGGCCTGCGCGCGCCCCTCGGGGCCGCCGCCCGGCCTGGCCGCGCGCCTGCGGCCGCTGCCCGCGCAGCGCCTGGGCAGCGCGAGCCGCAGCGACCCCGAGACGCTGCGGCGCTGGGCGGGGGAAGGTAGGCGGCGGCGGGGCCGGGCGGGTGTCCGCCCGCGGGCCCGGGCGGGGCGGGGCGGGGCCGCCGGGGGCCGCGCGCGCTCTCCCCGCTGCCCCGCCGCGGCCCCTCACTGCGGCCCCGGCCCCCAGGTTTCCGGCAGATCGCCTTGAACAAGGTGGCAGTCCTGCTGCTGGCCGGCGGGCAGGGCACCCGGCTGGGCGTCACCTACCCCAAGGGCATGTATCGCGTGGGGCTGCCCAGCGGGAAGACCCTGTACCAGCTGCAGGCCGAGCGGATCCGGCGCGTGGAGCAGCTGGCCGGGGAGCGCCACGGGACGCGCTGCACCGTGCCCTGGTGTGTGGTCCCCCCGGCGCCGCCCCAGCCCGGCCCCAGGCCCTCTCCCTTCGGCCCTCTGAACGCCGCTCCCCGCGGCCGTCCCCGCAGGTACATCATGACCAGTGAGTTCACACTGGGGCCCACGGCCCAGTTCTTCAGGGAGCACGAGTTCTTCCACCTGGACCCCGCCAACGTGGTTCTCTTCGAGCAGCGCATGCTGCCCGCAGTGACTTTCGACGGCAGGGCCATCCTGGAGCGCAAGGACAAGGTCGCCATGGCCCCAGGTGCGGCCCCGCCCCGAGGGAGTGGCCGCCCCGCCCGGACCTTGGAGTTCAGTGGGGGACGGGAGGCCCTGGCCCTGGCTGGCTGTGATCTGGTGGGGAGTCCCCTGACGCCCCCGCCACGTGGCACAACCTCGCAGCTTGTTTCCTGCTGCACTCTCTAATCGCGCAAGACCCATTTTTCTCTCTCTCCCTCTGCAGATGGCAACGGGGGTCTGTACTGTGCACTGGCAGACCATCAGATCCTAGAGGACATGGCGCGCCGGGGAGTGGAGTTTGTGCATGTGTACTGCGTTGACAACATCCTGGTGCGACTGGCAGACCCAGTCTTTATCGGCTTTTGTGTGCTGCAGGGCGCAGACTGTGGCGCCAAGGTGAGCACCAAGCCCGCCTCCCGCTAGCTGCCCTCAGTGCCCTTCCTCGCCCAGACCTCTGAGTCCATCCCCGGTGGCTGCAGGTGGTGGAAAAGGCCTACCCCGAGGAGCCTGTGGGCGTGGTGTGCCAGGTGGACGGTGTGCCTCAGGTGGTGGAGTACAGCGAGATCAGCCCAGAGACTGCTGAGCTGCGCAGCCCAGAGGGCAGCCTGCTGTACAGTGCCGGCAACATCTGCAACCACTTCTTCACCACAGCCTTCCTCCAGACGGTGGTCAGGTGTGCAGCAAAAGGAGGCTAGAGAGTGTCAGCCAGCGCTGCTGGGGCCCATCAAGGACCCCCAGCACCACACTGGCCTGAGGGCCCCGGGCTCAGTTTGCCCTGGCCCAGCCCGAGGTGGGCTGAGGCTCTGAGTGATAGGTGAAAGGGAGGCACTGGAGAGCAGTGGGAGTCCTGACGTGGGCAGGTGGGAGGCTCTGGGGTCAGGCCTGCCTTTCCCAGGTCTGCCAGCTTCCATTCGCCAGGGCTGTGTGTGGCTGGTGGTGCCCAGATCTTGGCATTGTGTGTGCAGAGTGCAGACCTGTGCCCTGCACAGAGATCTGGCTGACCATGCATCCTGGGAGACCCTGTCTGTAGCTCCTTCCTGTTTGTGCTCTGCCCCCAGGGAGTTTGAGCCTTTGCTGAAGCCTCACGTGGCAGTGAAGAAGGTCCCCTACGTGGATGAGGAGGGAAACCTGGTAAAGCCGCTAAAACCGAACGGGATAAAGATGGAGAAGTTTGTGTTTGATGTGTTCCAGTTTGCTAAGTTAGTGGTAGAGTCATTTACTTTTTTTCTTTCCTGTCTTTTGGTGGGTTTGGAGAGGGTCTGGGAGGAAGACACCGGTGCCCCCTCCCCCTGCTGGGGCCCACAGTGCCCTCTCCAGGGTCAGGTGCTCCTGGGACAGACCCCCACTTTGTCCTTGTAAGCCAGGCCCCGCCTTGCTGGCCCCGGCCGTGGCACAACCGTCCCTCTTCCACCAGGAACTTCGTTGCCTTTGAGGTGCTTCGGGAGGAGGAGTTCTCCCCGCTGAAGAATGACCACACTGCTGCCCGAGACAATCCCTCCACCGCCAGGCAGGCCCTGCTGACCCAGCACTACCGCTGGGCCCTGCAGGCGGGGGCCGGATTCCTGGACTCCCACGGAGTCGTGCTTCCTGAGCTGCCCACGTGAGTAGGCCCTGAGGGACAGCCTGGAGGTGTCAGGACTCCTTGTCCTCAGGGCCCTGCAGCACGCACCCGGCTTGGAGCGGCTCAGGCTGAGCCTGGCCTCTCCGGTCCTACCAATAGCCACCCGGAGACGGAGGAGTCGGACCCAGTCCCAAGCTTTATCATAGCTTTGACCCTGACACCAGGCACCACCTTCACAGGGCAGCCAAGACTTTGGCGTTGCTTCTTGCGGCCTGGGACGACTACTGGGCTGCGATGCTGTGGTGCTGGGAAGAATGGGAGAGTCAGGGCCCCTGGGTGCTTTGCAGGCTGAGCAGCCGGTGGGGAGGGGTGCAGCACTGGGCTGTGCAGAGGAAGAGGAACTCACAGAGACGGGGCTGGCAGGGCCTGGTGTGTGGGGTGCCCCATCCTGTCCGGCAGACTGGTTACAGGTGCCGGGGTGGGCTCCGGAGGCAGCTGCTGACTGTGCTGCTCCTCCCAGCCCGCCTCCAGGTAGAGACCCTCCGGCCATCTGTGAGATTTCACCCTTGGTGTCTTACTGTGGAGAGGTAAGAAGGGCCTTCCTGTCTGGGGTTTGTCTCGGGTCTGGAGGACTCCAGGGAGAGGTGGGTGCTGGGGTGGATGAGTCGCTGCCCCGCTGTGTTTCTTGGTCAGGCCTTCCCTGGGTTCAGGAAGATCTGGGATCCGGGCCTGTGGGCTGTGGCTCCTGGGGTGGCTGCGTGGGCCATGGGCAGCTAGAGGTGCCTGTGTGACTGGGAACGCCATTTCCAGGGTTTGGAAGTACTGCGAGGCCAGCAGCTCCCGTCCCTGTTCATCTTGGATGAGGCCCAGGCCAAGGTGCTGCAGCCACACAGCACCTGATGTGCTCCCAGCCAGCGGTCTCAAGGTGGGAGCGAAGGCCAGCCTAGGGCTCTGGCGGGGGGTGCAATGATTTACATCTCCAGCCTGTGGGGCAGGGTCGGGATGTGCTGGTGTCCTCCCCTCCACCACCCATTGCCTGTGGACGCAAGTGACTGCTGGCCTGCTACTGGCTCTTTGGTTTTATCTCTGGCTGGGAGGGGCTTCGGGGTGGTGTGGGAGCTGCGGCTTCGTCTGGGGGAGCAGCGTGGGGTGTCCTCTGAAGCCAGCTCTGGCCAAGCAGGCCTGCTCTGCTCTCAGCCCTCCCAGAGCGCAGCTCTGCCCCCGCCTGAAGCAGTGACCAGCAGAAGCCTGGGTGTCACCCTGCATGCAGGTGCTGGCCTTGGCACACAGAGGAGTCAGATGCCATGTTGAAGGCCGGCTCTGGGAGGGCCTGGCCGCACAGGCCAGACCTGGTGGCCTTGGCTTCCTCAGATTTCTCCCAAATCCTCTGCCTTTCAAGCATGGCCACAAGCACGCACGCCTGCTACTGTGTGTGTGAGTACTAGGGCTTGAATTTAGGGCCTCTTGGCCTTTTCTGCTTACAGCTGGTGCTTGACTACTTGAATCATTCTCCCACTTCCAGCTTAATAGCAATTGGAGACAAGTATCAGACTTATCTACCCAGGCAGGCTTCAAACCAGGATTCTCAGATCTCAGCCTTGTGGTGGTGAGGATTACAAGTGTGAGCCAGTGGTCACGTCGTTCAATCTTCCTTCAAAACCCACCGAGGCGGGCTGGGAAGGTAGCTCAGTGGTAGAGTGCTTGCCTTGCATACATGAGGCCCTGAGTTTGATTCCTCAGCACCACATAAGCCAAAAAGAAAAAAAAAGCCGGAAGTGGCGCTGTGGCTCAAGTGGTAGAGTGCTCGCCTTGAGCTGAAGAGCTGAGGGACAGCGCCCAGGCCCAGAGTTCAGGCCCCACAACAGGACCAATAAAACAAAAAAACCCACCGAGGCCCTGCTGGTGGCTTCTGGGTGCTAGTTCACCTGCAGGTTTCCACTCACATGGGGTGTGGCTTGCAGCCTGGGCCTCGCCTCCCTTAGGATGGGCCTCGCTTTCCTGGTGCTGCTCCCCTCGCTTGACCTTTGCCATGTTCCCGTGGGAACCCTTCCTGATGGAAACGCAGCTGGGAAGTGCAGCCCTGCCGAGTCATGGCCACCTCCAGCCCGCAGAGGCAGAGGCCTCACTCCTCCACCAGCGGCCCAGGGTGGGAGGTGATTCATGCAGTGTGTGGTCAGGCCCACACATTGCCGCTATTCCAGGGCTCAATACCTGGAAGACAGCTTGGCCTTCCACTGGGCCAGTCTTGCCACAGACCTCAGGCCAGCTTTGTGCCTTAGCACAGTCTCTGCTGCACGGACAAGCCAAGGGCCTGGTCAGGTCTGTGAGACAGGCCGCAGTCACAGCCCCGCTCGCCGCTTCTCAGTCATAACTGAACAATGCAGTCTTTTCTGCAAGCATTGTTAAGTTGGGTAAATTCTTAAAAAAAAAACTCACTTTAGCTGGGTCCTGGTGGCTGACGCCTGTAATCCTAGCTACTCAAGAGGCTGAGATCTAGGATCCCGGTTCAAAGCCAGCCCAGGCAGACTGAGATTCTTATCTCCAATTAACCACCAAGTGGTAGAGCTCTGGCCTTGAGCTGAAGAGCTGAGGGACAGTGCCTCGGCCAGTTCAAGCCCCACAACTGACAAAAAAACTTACTTTAAAAGTACAATTATAGGGCTGGGAAGGTGGCTCAGTGGTAGGGTGCTTTGCCTCTCATGCCTGAGGCCCTGGGTTCCATGCCTCAACACCACATAAGCAAAAAGAAAAAAGATGGAAGTGGCGCTGTGGCTCAAGTGGTAGAGCACTAGCCTTGAGCTAAAGAGCTGAGGGACAGCGCCCAGGCCCAGAGTTCAGGCCCCACGACCGGACCCAAAAAAAAAAAAAAAAGTACAATTATAGGCTGGGAATGTGGCTTAGTGGTAGAGTGCTTGTCTTGCATGAAGCCCTTGGGTTTGATTCCTCAGTACCATAAGCAGAAAAAGCTGCAAGTAGCACTGTGGTTCAAGTGGTAAAGTGCTAGCTTTGAGCAAAAGAAGCTCAGGGACAGACAGACCCAGAGTTCAAGCCCCAGGACTGGCAAAAAAAAAAAGTTATAGTCAGGCACCGGTGGCTCACGCCTGTAATCCTAGCTACTCAGGAGGCTGAGATCTGAGGATTGTGGTACAAAACCAGCCCAGGCAGGAAAGTCTGTGAAACTTATCTCCAATTAACCACCAGAAAACCAGAAGTGACGTTGTGGCTCGAAGTGGTAGAGTACTAGCCTTGAGTGGAAAAAGCTTAGGGACAGCACCCAGGCTGAGTTCAAGCCCCAACAAAAGAAGAAGAAAAAAGGTGTTTAAAAATTTACACAAATCCACAGTGAATACCAGGTGCCGGGCCTGCCAGGGCCTGGAGCGTGGTTTTAGAGCGGGTGTGTGTGGGGGGTAAGGGAGTGCTGAGGCCCATGTGCAAGGGCTGAGCTTAGGGTTCCCTTGGCAAGGGGTCCACCTGGGTATGTCCAGGAGACCCCGTGTGCACCTGCCCAGCCCTGCATCAGGCTGCAGGGGTCTGAGGGGCTCTGCCTGGCTGCGGCCCCCTGACTTGCATATCCACACTTTCCTGGAAACTGAAGCAGAAACTATGCTTAAAGGCAGTGTAGAGGTGCAGGGATGCAGGGCCAGGAGGGTCAAGGCAGCAGGTGAGCCAGGCAGTGAGCAGAGGCTGTGAGTGAGGAGCTCCCGGCACCCAGGCAGGCTGGCTCCAGGCTGTGGGCAGCTGGGCGGGGTGTCCTGGAGGCTGGAGACTGTCATGCTCACAGGCGGGGAGGTGGGGCCTGGTGATGGGGCAGGGCCACCAAACGAGTAGCTGGTGGATGCTGGGGTCACGCACCACAGCTCCTTAGGAGATTGAGATCTGACAATCAGGGTTCAAAGCCGACTCAAATAAGAGATTCTTACCTCCACTTAACCAGCAAAAAAGGTAGCACTAGCTCAAGTGGTAGAGCATCTGCAATGAGGGACGAAGCCTAGCGAGGGCTCAAGGCCCTGGGGTCCAAGCCACACTGCCAGCACCGGATGAATAGTGGTGAGTCACACACTTGTGAACTTACTGTGGAGAGACAGACCTGTGTGTTACAGCATGCCTCACACAGGACAGCTTGTTAGTATAGGAAAGGATTTGTTTAAAAAGGAAGACAATGAATAAACGGGCCACTAGCCAAGTAATAAATATACTTTTTTTTGGGGGGGGGGGGCTGGGAAGGTGGCTCAGTGGTAGAGCGCTTGCCTTGCATGCATGAGGCCCTGGATTCAATTCCTCAGCACCAAATAAGCAGAAAAAGCTGGAAGTGGCGCTGTGGCTCAAGTGGTAGAATGCTAGCCTTGAGCTGAAGAGCTAAGGGCCAGCACCCAGGCCCAGAGTTCAGGCTCCACAACTGGCTATGTATATGATAGTGGTCCCTCTAGCAAACACTCATGAGCACAGCAAAGCTGGTTCCCCTGGCCCCTGCCTCAGGTTCACCTGGGGTCCCTGCAGATCAAGAGCTGAGAGCTGAGAACTAGAAGGCATACGGCCTGCACTCCAGGGTTGCATTTCTTTCAAGATACTGATATGGCTAACAGAAGAAATATGCCAAGTAGAAGAAAGATGCAACTCTCAGCTCACATACAACACATAATCATTCATTATAGAGTTGAACCATCCGAAGACATTTGAATGGGCAAGAGAACTGGGAAGGGGGGACTGGGAAAGTGGCTCAGTGGTAGAGTGCTTGCCTTGCATACATGAGGCCCTGGGTTCGATTCCTCAGCACCACATAAGCAAAGAGAAAAAAAGCCCGAAGTGGCGCTGTGGCTCAAGTGGTAGAGCGCTAGCCTTGAGCTGAAGAGCTGAGGGACAGCGCCCAGGCCCAGAGCTCAGGCCCCACGACTGGACCCCAAGAAAAAGAAAAAAGAAAACTGGGAAGGGACTAAGAAAAGGAACGTGCTGGTGAGCACTGCATAGCACCCCACGGAGCAGGAGGGATAATGCAGCACCAGAGGATATAAATTAGGTCTGAGGATCCCAATTCTGTGAACCTATGAATAAGCAACACTAAGAGAAGAGATACCACCGGGCACTGGTGGCTCACACCTGTCATCCCAGCTACTCAGGAGGTTGAGATCTGATGATCAAGGTTTAAAGCCAGCCCAGGCAGACAAATCTGAAACACTCATTTCCAATTAACTCGCAAGAAGCCAGAACTGAGAATATAGTATGAATGGTAGAGGGCCAGTCCTGAGGGTAAAATGCAAGCAAGAGCACAAACCCTAGTACTGACATGTGCGTGCGTGCATGTGCACACGCACGCACGCACACATGCACACGATGAGTATCCAATTACTAGTATTATCCAGCAAATCTACTTCTGTCAGTTCCACAGAGCTCCTGGAAGCAGAATGCAGACGTACAATGAGTGTTCACACCAGCACTCCTCACAAGAGCTTGTGTGTGGAAACAGCCAAGTGTCTGTTGACACAAGAACAGATAAACACAACGTGGTGTGTGGACACAGCATTATGCTGAGTAAAACCAGCCTCACAGAAGGACAACTACTGCATGATTCTGGTCATGACATTCCTAGAGTAACCAAATAAATTTGTAGAGACAAAGCAGAATGAAAATGCCAGGGGCTGTTTGTAGGGGACAGTGTGATTGGGACCTCAAAACAGTTTAAGTAGTACATATAGGAAAGGTGCACGCATGGTGGAGGTGCCAAGTTGTACATAACACCTGAACTGCTGAAATGCTCTTTTATACTATGGATGACTTAGCACCTGAGCCAACCTGGCCCCAAACAGAGGTAATAGGGGTGGCAGACATGGGGACAGGCCATCCCCATGTCCATCTGCCCAAATCCAGCAGATGTGAAGCCTGAGGGGGCATGGCCCAAGTCTGTAAGGTGTGGGGGGCAGGAGTTCACCTGGGCCCAGAACTCCACATGGGGGTTGGGGAGGGAAGACTGCATGGAGGCACCTGTGTGGTCACGTGCTTCTCACCTCCTCAAGTACCTCCACCTCCCACAGGTCCTCTCCTTCGCTGCCCAGGCAGATCTGTGATAGAGATGACACACCTGGCCTGTCTGGGCAGGGGAAAAGGCCTCAGAGCTCCATGTCTGGAGCTCTGTGGGACTGGCCTAGCCAACCAGCCTTGGAGGTCTGTGTCCCGAGAGAGTCTGATGGTGGCCATTTGCAGGGTCTGCCCACCAGCCTGACTTGCATCCTGTCCCCTGGGCTGTGGGGGAGGAGCAAGTGGACTCTGGGCCCAGAGCCAGAGACCACCTTCCCACAGGGGTCTGGCCACTGTGGAAGGGGCCAGTCCCCTGAGGCTGTGGCCGCTCTGGGCTCCCAGGCAGACCTGAGCCCACTGGCTTCCCACAGAGCTGGGCTGTGCCTCCACCAGGCTCCGGGAGACTAGCTGCTCTCCAGTATGGTGATGGAGGCCTGGGATGATAGAGAACAGCTCCCTAGAAAGGCTCTGCATCTCCAGCCCACTGTGGCCACGGCTGAGGCTCACACACAGCTGTATCTCCGGGATCCTGGGCACCCACTCCAGGGCGCGGGCTGCCTTCCTCCCAGTGAGGGTACAGTGGCTTGTCCCTCGTTCTGTGGAAGCACTGGGTCCCTGACCAAGGCAAGCAGTGTTATGGCAGGCCCATGGCCCGGCGAGCGGGCCCCACGCGCTCACGCTGCTGTGTCAGGTGCAGGATGTCACCGCCAGCCCGCCAGGAGCCACAGTTTAGGAACAGCGTGGGGCAGGGATCTGGGGTCACGCTGGGCAGGAACAGGCTTGGGAATGGAGAACTCCACGCCGGGCCTGGCTCCCAACCCTTGCTTCCCGCAGAGCTGAGGCTCCCCGGGACGGGCAGGAAGCACTCACAATGCCGCCCCAGCCACCGGCCTTGGGTCAGATGCTGGGGAGAGATGGCTCCTCCCTTCCCCTACGCTCCCGCCCCCCGTCCTGGCTCCGCCCCGTCCTGGCTCCGCCCCGTCCTGGCTCCGCCCCGTCTGGCTCCGCCCCGTCCTGGCTCCGCCCCCCGGGAGCAGCGCAGCCACGTCCCCGGCCCGGCCCCCGAGTGCGGCGCCGGCCGCCCGCCCGCGGCCCCTGCCCTTTCCCGCCCGCGGCCCCTGCTCTCTCCCGCCCGCGGCCCCTGCCCTCTTCCACCCGTCCTCCCTCGGAGCAGCCGGTGAGGAGGCCCGGGCCTTGAGCCCTCGGTCGCCATGACGACCGTCTCCACGGGAGCACAACGGACGCCGGCACCGGAAGTGATGAATCCGGCCGGGTCGGGGCGGCCGGGCCGAGGCCCCACGTGACCTCACGCACGTGACCCTCTCACGTGACAGGCCGCGCGTGCGACTGCGGCCGAGGTTCGTCGAGCCGGACATGAGTCCTCCGCGCCGGGCCTCCGAAAGCCGCGGGGCCCCGTCCTGGGCCCTGGGCCCGCTGCTGCTGCTGGGGCTGGGGCTGCACAGCTGCCGCGGAGAGGGTGAGAACGGCCCGCCGCCGCCGCCGGCCCCCCCGGGCCCGCGGGCCCTCCCCTGCCGCGGCCCCCGCCGGCCCCACCCGGGCCCCCCGGGCCCTCCGCCGGCCCCCCCCCGCCGGCCCCCCCCGGGCCCGCGGGCCCTCCCCTCCCGCCGGCCCCCCCCCCCCGGGCCCCCCGGGCCCTCCGCCGGCCCCCCCGGGCCCTCCTCTGCCGCGGCCCCCGCCGACCCCCCCCGGGCCCTCCCCTCCCGCCGGCCCCCCCCGGGCCCCCCGCCGGCCCCCCCCCGGGCCCTCCGCCGGCCCCCCCGCCGGGCCCCCCGGGCCCGCGGGCCCCCCCCTCCCGCCGGCCCCGTCCCGGTCCCCGCCGACCCCCTCCCCCGGGCCCGCGGGCCCTCCCCTCCCGCCGGCCCCCCCCCGGGCCCTCCGCCGGCCCCCCCCCCCCCGGGCCCGCGGGCCCTCCCCTCCCGCCGGCCCCCCCCGGGCCCCGCCGGCCCCCCCCCCCGGGCCCGCGGGCCCGCGGGCCCCCCCGCCGGGCCCCCCGGGCCCTCCTCTGCCGCGACCCCCGCCGGCCCCCCCCGGGCCCCCCCCTCCCGCCGGCCCCGTCCCGGCCCCCGCCGACCCCCTCCCCCGGGCCCCGCGGGCCCTCCCCTCCCGGCGGCCCCTCCCCTCCCCCCGGGCTCCGCGGACCCTCCCCTCCCGCCGGCCCCGTCCCGGCCCCCGCCGGCCCCCCTCCCCCGGGCCCCGCGGGCCCTCCCCTCCCGCCGGCCCCTCCCCTCCCGCGGCCCCTGAGTGTCTGTGGCCCACTCTCAGCCCACAGGGCCCTGGACCCCGACTTTCAAGAGAAGTATTTCGAACAATTTCTAGACCACTTCAATTTTGAGAGTTTTGGCAACAAGACCTTTCTTCAGCGGTTCCTGATGTCAGGTAAACACCCCGCCCCAGGCGCCCACCGTCCCGCCCGCCCCGTCCACTCACACCCCTGGCACCTGTCCCGCCCCACCCCTGTCCACTCACACCCCTGCACCTGTCCCGCCCCACCCCTGTCCACTCACACCCCTGCACCTGTCCCAGCCCCGTCCACTCACACCCCTGCACCTATCCCACCCCTGTCCACTCACACCCCTGCACCTGTCTCACCCCACCCCTGTCCACTCACACCCCTGCACCTGTCCCGCCCCGTCCACTCACACCCCTGCACCTGTCCCGCCCCGTCCACTCACACCCCTGCACCTGTCCCGCCCCACCTCTGTCCACTCACACCCCTGCACCTGTCCCGCCCCACCCCTGTCCACTCACACCCCTGCACCTATCCCAGCCCCATCCACTCACACCCCTGCACCTGTCCTGGCTCCTCCCTGTCCACTCACACCCCTGCACCTGTCCCGCCCCACCCCTGTCCACTCACACCCCTGCACCTGTCCCGCCCCACCCCTGTCCACTCACACCCCTGCACCTATCCCAGCCCCATCCACTCACACCCCTGCACCTGTCCTGGCTCCTCCCTGTCCACTCACACCCCTGCACCTGTCCCGCCCCACCCCTGTCCACTCACACCCCTGCACCTGTCCCGCCCCACCCTCGTCCACTTATACCCCTGCACCTGTCCTGGCTCCTCCCTGTCCACTCACACCCCTGCACTTGTCCCGCCCCACCCCTGTCCACTCACACCCCTGCACCTGTCCCGCCCCACCCCTGTCCACTCACACCCCTGCACCTGTCCTGGCTCCTCCCTGTTCACTCACACCCCTGCACCTGTCCCGCCCCACCCCTGTCCACTCACACCCCTGCACCTGTCCCGCCCCACCCCTGTCCACTCACACCCCTGCACCTGTCCCAGCCCCATCCACTCACACCCCTGCACCTGTCCTGGCTCCTCCCTGTCCACTCACACCCCTGCACCTGTCTCGCCCCACCCCTGTCCACTCACACCCCTGCACCTGTCCCGCCCCACCCCCTGTCCACTTATACCCCTGCACCTGTCCTGGCTCCTCCCTGTCCACTCACACCCCTGCACCTGTCCCGCCCCACCCCTGTCCACTCACACCCCTGCACCTGTCCCGCCCCACCCCTGTCCACTCACACCCCTGCACCTGTCCCGCCCCACCCCTGTCCACTCACACCCCTGCACCTGTCCCAGCCCCATCCACTCACACCCCTGCACCTGTCCTGGCTCCTCCCTGTCCACTCACACCCCTGCACCTGTCCCGCCCCACCCCTGTCCACTCACACCCCTGCACCTGTCCTGGCTCCTCCCTGTCCACTCACACCCCTGCACCTGTCTCGCCCCACCCCTGTCCACTTACACCCCTGCACCTGTCCCGCCCCACCCCTGTCCACTCACACCCCTGCACCTGTCCCGCCCCACCCCCGTCCACTTATACCCTTGCACCTGTCCTGACTCCTCCCTGTCCACTTACTCCTGCACCTGTCCCAGCCCCACCCCTGCCCAGGGCCCACTGTACCTGTCCCTGCCCCTCCTCTGTCTGGCACCCAATGCCTGTCCAAGCTTCATCTCTGTACACCTGCTCCCTACAGACAAGTTCTGGAGAAAGGGCGAGGGACCCATCTTCTTCTACACGGGGAACGAGGGGGACATTTGGGTCTTCGCCAATAACAGTGGCTTCCTGGTGGAACTGGCAGCCCAGCAAGAGGCCCTGATCATCTTTGCGGAGCATGTGGGTACTGGGTGTCCCCGGGTAGGGCAGGCCGTTGGCAGCCAGACCCACCTTCCTGCCTGGCTTTCCACAGCGATACTACGGGAAGTCACTCCCGTTCGGCCCTCGGTCCACGCAGCCAGGGCACATGCAGCTGCTGACTGTGGAACAGGCGCTAGCCGACTTTGCTGAGCTGCTCCAGGCCCTGCGGAAGGAGCTCAGGGCCCAGCAAGCCCCCGCAATTGCCTTTGGAGGGAGGTGGGTCCTTGGATGGGCGGGGTGGGGCAGGGCGGGGCGGGGCCCACCTAGATCTGGTCCGAGCCCTGCCTATCCAGAGTAACTGTAAACACTCAGCTCAGAGAGTAGCCATGTGCCTAGGGGCTTTGTCCCTTTTACCCTCTGACCCCACTTCTGTGCCGCCCTGCCTCCTCCAGGAAGCCCTCCCTGTCCCCTTCTCTGATGGGACTCACCAGCCATGCTGGGATGTGTTGTGCTAACTACACTAGGAGGGGAATCCCCCCTCCCCCGGTGTGTTTCCAGGCTGGACTAGGACAGGGCACCTACCAGATGCCTTTCCCCAGCGAAGGTTGTACCTGAAGGGGCTTAGGGTTAGAATGTGTGCATCTTGCAAGTTGGAGGTCTTCTTGTTGGCACCTGTGGCCTCTGGAGGGAAAGAGAAAGGGGTTGCAGGCCCAGCCAGGGGACCCCAACCTGGAACCTCAGCCTGGAGGCCGGGGTAGGGGAGGACCAGCCTGACTGCAGGGCCCAAAGTTGTCACCCTGTGCCCTGCACCCAGTTACGGGGGGATGCTCAGCGCCTACCTGAGGATGAAGTTTCCCCACCTGGTGGCCGGCGCGCTGGCTGCCAGTGCACCCGTCCTGGCTGTGGCAGGCCTCGGTGACTCTTGTCAGTTCTTCCGAGATGTGACAGAGGTACGTGGAGGTCTGGAGGGGCCGTCCCCCAGGCTGGCCCAGGGCAGCACCTGCCTGACTACACCCTCTTCCCAGGACTTCCACAACCAGAGCCCCAAGTGTGCGCAGGCTGTGCAGGCCGCCTTCCAGCAGATCAAGGACTTGTTCCTGCAGGGAGGTGAGGAAGTCAGGAGGTGCCCTCTGGAGTGCCCTTGGTGCCCGGCAGAGGCCTCCACAGACGCTGTCCCTGCCCTCCTCCAGCCCACGACATCATCAGCCAGGAGTTTGGCACCTGCCAGCTGCTCTCCAACCCTAAGGACCTGACTCAGTTTTTTGGTTTTGCCCGGAATGCCTTTACCCTGCTGGCCATGATGGACTACCCCTACCCCACCGACTTCATGGGGCACCTTCCCGCCAACCCCGTCAGGGTGAGGCCGGTTGTCTCGGGAGCAGGAAGGGCCCTAGCTCCTTAGGGGGCGCTTGCCCTGTTCCCCCAGTGTCCCACAGCCTGGTGGCCCCGACCCACCCAGGCAGGGGATCTTTGCTGAGACGCCCTGCCGCCCCTCCGCTCCAGGTTGGCTGTGTCAGGATGCTAAGTGAGACACAGAAGATCAGAGGACTGCGTGCACTGGTAGGTGAGTCTCTCGGTTCTGAGATGGATGTGGGATCAGGTGGGGCAAGGACCTAAGGCCCTGGCCTGGGGCTCGGCCTCCTGGGTAGGCCTGGCACAGCTGGCAAAGGAGCAGAACCTGCACGGTGTGGGCAGTACAACTCCAGCAGTCTAGGGGAGGGTGTGGCTATCTCCAGAAATCCCTCTAACCACCGGGCCAAGTGCAGCAGGCAGCCACAGCAGCCACTGGAACATTCCCCAGACCCTCCGGTAGCGAACCCAGGGCTTTGCTCACTGAGCCACATGCAGCATCAGACCCCACGCTCCAGCGCAGGCTGGGCCTGTGGCCATTGTTCCCAGCACCCCGTCCTCCCCAGGGCTGGTCTACAACTCCTCCGGCACAGAGCACTGTTATGACATCTACAAGCTGTACCAAAGCTGCGCTGACCCCACCGGCTGCGGCACCGGCCCCGACGCCAAGGCCTGGGACTACCAGGTGCCAGAGTGGGGCTGGTGGCCAGGTGGGAGGATGGACGCATGCCCTTGCCTGCCTGACCTGTGTGGGGTATCTGCAGGCCTGCACAGAGATCAACCTGACGTTTGACAGCAACAACGTCACCGACATATTCCCTGAGCTCCCGTTCACGGAGAAGCTCCGCCAGCAATACTGCCTGAACACGTGGGGCGTGGAGCCCCGGCCAGACTGGCTGTACAACAACTTCGGAGGTGGTGGTAAAGGCCGGGGACCTGGAGGTTGCGGGGCAGGGTCCTGCTGTCTGCACTGACCTGACAACGCATGCACACAGGACCCTGGGGCCTGCGGTCTCTCACCTTCCCTTGCTGTGTCCCTTTCAGACCTTAAAGCTGCCAGCAACATCATCTTCTCCAATGGTGACCTGGATCCCTGGGCAGGGGGTGGGGTGAGTGTCCGCCTGGCCAGCTGCTGGCCTCCCTGCCTCCTCAGCAGTCCCTGCTGTCGGCAGCTGTGCCTCTGTTGGTTTTTCTGAGTGCTCTGTGAGGGGCTTCTCATTTACCAGAATCTTCTCAGAGCCAGGCTGCCTTGGCAACTCCACACCCACCTCATCCACTCTGGTCCAGTCATCACTTCCTGTGCCATCTTCCACTCGCTGCTTTTACTGCGCCTTCCCTTTCCAATGAGACCATTTGAGGCCCTGCCGTCACTTCATTCCTGCTTTAGCTACACCCCAGGATTGTGATAGGCCAGTAGGTGGGAGCACTGGTGGCATTCTCATGGAGAGGCTAGCTGTCTGACCAGGTTTCTCCCGCTGACCGCAGATTCGGAAGAGCCTCAGCAGCTCAGTGGTGGCCATCACCATCCACGGGGGAGCACACCACCTCGACCTCAGGTGGGGCCGCCGTTTCCCCTCCTCTGCACTAAGGGCTCAGGATGGAAAGGGGCATGGAACTCAGCCTCTAGGTTGGGTGTCTGCCTGCTTTTCAGGTGGTCCCATCCACAAGACCCCCTGTCGGTTGTGAAAGCTCGCAGGCTGGAGGCCGCCTTGATCCGTGAGTGGGTGAAGGCAGCCAGGCATAAACATCGGGGACCGGGGACCTAAGGGCAGCCCTCACTCAGCTAAGACCAGACAGGATGTGGATCTGCCCATCTCAGCACCTCTTGTGGTTGCTGCCTGGCTGCCTGCTTGACGTCTGGATGTGTCATCCAGATCCAAGCAGATCCGAGGGCCAGCCCGTGTGTGGACCCTGGGACCTGAGGAGCCCAAGGCTCTGAGCCCAGCTCTCCCTCGAGTGAGGGAGGGGTTGGAGGGAAGCGGCTGAATAAACGCCTGTTCCTTAGCTCTGCCAGGGGGAGGGAGGTACATGCCGGTCAGTCACAGGGAAGCCAGGATGCTGCTTGGCCCACAGATCCAATATTTAATAAAGCAGATTCCCCAACTCAGGTGTGATGTGCAGGGTGCTCTTTTCCCAGGGGCCGGTCTCCTGCTCCCAGGACAGGTCCCATCCTGGCTCTAGCACAGCCAGTGCCAGCCTCTGCCCCACACCGGGTCCCCTACAGAGCACCTCTGGTTAGGAGGCCAAGGTAAGAGATGAAGAATGTGTGCTTTCTGTCAGCTCCTCAGAGCCTGTCCGCAGGCCAACTCCAGAGAGAAGTCAGTCACTGTCCACTGCTGGGCAACATGGGGCAGGCTGTGGTTAGGAGGCCTGGCCACTCCCTCCACATGGGGAGGGCGCCAGGGTCTCCTCAGCAGCCATGAGAGCCACAAGGCCCAGGGACAGCTCATGACTGGCCCTTCCAGAACACCTGTGCTTCAGGTAGGTGGAGGAGAGGAGGACTGGTCTGGGCTGCACACAGGTCGTGAATGGGCCCCGCAGGAGCTGGTGGACACAAAGTCAGTTGGTCCATGTGTCCTCACCCTGTGCTGCCCGGGCTCTAGCTTTCCTGGGGAAGAAGGATCTTCCAGGAATGACGGAAGCGCTCTTCATGCTCAACACAGAAGGGTGGAGCTAGGCTATCCCAAGGCATCTATCTGATCTAGAAGGGGGGTCCCAGCTAGTGGGCTGCATAACAAGGACACCACACTATACACAGGGCAGGCGGCTAGCTCTGGGCCACACCCTGCACCATCCCCAGACAGTGTGGGCCTCACTTGCAGAACTTCTCATTCTGTTCTTCCCCCCTGCAGCAGACACCAGCAGGTCTGACTTCAGGGGACAGATAACAGTGTGACCCAGAAAAGCACTGCTGACCTCTGGGAACAGATAATGGGCTGTAACCTGGAAGAGCATGCCGACCTCTGAAGTTGTTTCCGAGACCCCTTACACATAGAGCAGCCATCACAGGGGGGGCAAGTCAAATTTTATCCCAGCTGAAAAGTCCCATTCTACCAGGGTGCAAAGTCAAATTGCTGTCCCCCCTCCTGTGAGACACCATGGGGTGTCAGGAGGATCCCTGAGTCCAACATGTAAACACCAGAGCCAGGTTCAAAGCCTCAGGGCTCTACGGGGGTCTCAGAGGCCTATGCCAATCCTTGGAACTCATAAGTGCTGTTAGTTGGAGCAGAGCGGCTGGTAGGCCATCCCCTCGGCTCTTCTCTGAACACAACACAGCTCTGGGTTCTAAGCAGCCCAGGGGTGGGCTGGGGCCCTGGGAACCACCAGGGCCTCCTTGCAGCTGGCAGACAGGTTGGATCAACATTATGAGTAGGGAATTGTAATCCAAATTTTGAAGGAAGGTCAAGATCTTCTGGTAAACTAACTCTCCCTGAGCCACACACCTGCTGATCTGGTTCTGTTCTACACAGTGTCCTGTGAGCAGCAGAGACGAGAAGCTGGGGCGGCAAAGAGCACTGGTGCTCAGTGGCTGCCCGATTTCATGCAGGCCTTTGAATATCCCAGACCCAACTGAGCCACCTCTACCTCCCAGCAGTTCCTAGGCCAGGAGCTGTCCCCTAGGTGGGAGCCCAGATGGGCAGGGGATGGGCCTCGGTGTTGAACACATAGGAGTCCAAGCTGAGCAGGTCTGGGTCATCAGAAAACAGCAGGTAGAGGTACTTCAGTGTTTCCCCTAGGAAGAAGCTCTCCATCTTGTCCCTGGGCTCAGGTCTGTGGGAGTCCTGGACATTGTTGATAGAGGAATAGCCACCCGAGGGGACCTGCATAAGAGCCAAGGCCTTGAAGATGAGGTGGAGCACAGGCTAGGCTCTCCAGGCAGGGCCTCGGGAAGCGCCAGCAGGAAGCTAGCTCCAGGCTGCTCGCCCTGACACACCGCGCATGGCCCTGGCACCCTAGAGTGAAAGTGAGGGCATCCTGGTGATAGCCAAGGTCAGAAACAGCTCCAGAGGCATCTGGAAAATGCCAGCAACCCCTGGTTCCTGGTACAAGAACTGCACCCAGGCCAGGCCAGGGTCCCAGGGTGGTCTGGGAGGGATGTGGCTCTCCAGGGTCCAGCGCCTTGCTCGTGACACAGGTGACAGAAATCTCAGGCAGCTGGGGTCCCAAGCACAGCCTGCCACAGCCAGCCATCAGCCTGGGTCATCCATGCCAGCTGTGGTGATGCATGGGCCTGGCAGGGCGTGACCTTCCCTGAACGGGGGCCCTGAAAGACGGGGTGCTGGGCAGACAGCTGACTACCCAGGGGTGTGGCGTGTGCCAGGTAAGCGGGGCGGGGTGGTGCAGTGGGGCCAGCACAGGATGCCTTGGTATAAAGGCCTGGTCCTAGGGGCCCCTCCAAGCCTGACTGCCTCCCCACGCCACGTCCTACTAGGCAGTCATGTTAGCAGGGCCACGCCCGGCTGGGCTGTACCCATCTGAAAGGCCCAGCAGGTGCCCCTCACCCCAGGCCACAGCGGCCACTGGCACAGTCAGAGCTCTGCAGCACTCGTGGACAGCCATGAGGGGCTTACCCGAGTATACTTGTTGAAGCTCTGCAAGATGTCCCAGCCCCAGTCTTGGTACTTGCGGTCCCCTGTGATCCGGTACAGGTAGAAGAGGCTCTCCACAGTCTCGGGCCGCAGAAGGTTGTGCCTGTCGGCCGGCTGGGGAAAAGCCAGTGGTGAGCACGCACCCACACCTGCGGAGCCACGCCATCGGGGTGCAGCCAAGCTCACCTTGACCTCCACATCCTGCCGGTCCGCCCGGGGGTACAGGTTGAAGTGTGCGATCTCAGGGCTGAGCCCCGTCTCCATCTGACGGTTCATCTGGTAGCAGGTCTCCATAAGTGCTTGGGCTAGTTCCATGTGGTTGCCCGGGAGGCCATGGTGGACGCCCAGAGCCAGCGTCCCTGGCAGGAAGCACACCAGGTGGTCCTGGAATCACAGTGTTTCCTCACCGCTGGACCTTAGCGCGTGCGTGTGCGCGCGCACACACACACACACAGACACAGACAGACAGACAGACACACACACACACACACACGAAAACCCAGGCAACACGTACAGGCTGCAATGCAGGGTCTCCCTGAGGTGCTGACCCAGGCCTTCTAGGCTCTTCCAACCTGTCTACAAATACCTCTGCAGATGTGCCATGCACCAGATACCTGAGGGAGGACTTCAGGGAGGGTGGCGACCCAGGGTGTCTGTCTACCCTGCAGGCCACACAAGGACTCGACCCAGGAGTCTGTGTCTACCCTGCAGCAGGGCCACACATGGACATGGTTCACAGGACCATTCCAGGAATGTCAGGTCAGGTAGCAAGTCTCCCTGTGGCTTCAGCTCCAGTCCTCTGACCAGGATGTCATTCGGACATCTATGCTGACGACCTTAACAACCACACAACTCACCATCTTGGCACTGAAGCGGCCGTGGGCAAGCTCCCCCACAAAGGTGAGTTTCCTGGGCTGGGAATGCCGAAGCAGGTGTGTCTTTATTCCCTCAATGGCTTTAAGGTAGTCTTCCAATAACCTGTGAACACCAGCGAGTCGTCTTGGGCTGGCTGCAGCCGGGCGCTGGCTGCCTCTGAGGGGTGCAGGGCTAGGCACACAAGGACTGCAAGCCTGGCCCTGCCCGAGCAGCAGACACAACAGGTGCAGCGAAAGGACACAGCAAAGGCTGAGCTGGGTACGGAGAGGCTTCTCACCGAATGACCCAGCCCCCCCCCCAGGTCTGTGGACCACAGTCGCGTGGAGGAGGCCAGGCAGTGGTGGGGATGGGAGCTGGGGAGCTGCACCAAGGCAGCACAAGTAGGCCTCACTGTGTCTCCTTCTTCCCGCCCTGGATCCACTGCTTCAGCAGGTATTCATAGTAGCTGTCGGCCCTGGCGCCCAAGGTGAACACGCCCGGGTGAGTGAAGAGGCCACTGTGTGTGTTGATGAACATGGGCACCAGCCCGTCCTTCTTCCCGGACAGGGAGTGGATGTGCCTCGTCACCTCCTCTGCTGCCTCCTGTGGAAGAAGAGGGGCGGCAGGTGCACTGCAGGTGAACTTCTCACGCTACAGAAAACTGAAGAGGGATCATACTTTCCTGAAGACTTAGTATATTGAGGGGCTGGGAAGGTGGCTCAGTGGTAGAGTGCTTGCCTTGCATGCCTGAGGCCCTGGGTTCGATTCCTCAGCACCACATAAGCAAAAAAAAAGAAAAAAGCCGGAAGTGGCGCTGTGGCTCAAGGGGTAGACCGCTAGCCTTGAGCTGAAGAGCTGAGGGACAGTGCCCAGGCCCAGAGTTCAAGCCCTACAACCGGACCCAAAAAAAAAAAAAAAAGACTTAGTATATTGATAACTAATAACCAATTCTTTATATCTTTTTTTTTTTTTTTTGAGGCCAGTATAAAAACAAAAATCTCACAGCCTCAACATCTTGACCAGATTTTTTTTCTTTCTTTTAAGTAAGTTGTGGGGGCTTGAAATCAGTGCCTGGGCACTGTATTCCTGAATTTCTGTGCTCAAAGCTAATGTTCTACCATTTCCCACCACACTTCCACTTCTGTTTTTTTGGTGGTCAATTGGAGATAACAGTCTCATAAACTTTCCTAATAGGGTTGACCTTGAACCGTGATCCTCAGATCTCAGCTTCCTCAGTAGCAAGGCGTGAACCAACAGCATCGAGCTATGCTCAGCATTTTTTTTTTTTTGCTTCCAGTTGATGCTTTGCCACTTGAGTCACACCTCCATTTCCAGCTTTTTGCTGGTTAACTGGAGTTAAGAGTCTCTTTGATTTATCTGAGTTACTTTTGAACAGCAGTCCTCCGATCTCCACCTCTAGAGTAGCTAAGATGCTAGGATTATATCTCCCAGCCAACACATTATGAAGCCAGAAATATCCTAGCACCAAAGCTATACAGCAATACCAGAAGACAAATATAAATTACTTTAGAACATTGATGCAAAAATACTAAATACTATTTTAGCAAAGCAAATTCCACAGCATGTTAACTAGATGATGCATTATCACAAGCAGGAGGGACTACTGCCCAAAATTCAGGGATTGTCCAAGACACAAAACCCACTGGTGTCACACACTGCATCAGATGACAGTCATTTCAACTGGTACAAGCCCTGGACATAAACCATGTCTCTCAGGAGGCAGACAGGAGGATGGAGAAACACAATACAAAGAAAAGGGCCAGGGCACTGCTCAAATGGTAGAATACAGGATTAGTATGTTCAAGACTGGGGTTTAATCCGAAGTACAGCAAAAGACAAAACAACAGTGGGGGTCAGTGGCTCAGGCCTATTGAGACTGGCACCTGAGGAGAGCAGTTCAAAACCAGCCTGGGCAGGAAAGTCCATAAGACTTTTTTTTTTTTTTTGCAGTCATGGTGCTTGAACTCTGGGCCTAGACACTGCCCCTCAGCTCTTCAGCTTAAGGCAAGTGCTCTGCCACTTGAGCAACAGTGCCACTTCCGGTTTTCTGGTGGTGAATTGGCGTGAGCCACCAGTGCCCGGTGGAAAATATTTGACACTTATCTCTAACCAGCAAAAAGCTAGAAAGTGGGGCTGTGGCTCAAGTAGTAGAGTGCTAGTCTTGAACACAAAAGCTCAGGGAGACACAGATACACACACACACACACACGCGCGCGCGCGCACGCCAAAAAAACAGTGCCTTGTCCCTGAGTTCAAGCCCTAGCACCAGCACACATAAATTGGAAAGAGGGGAAAATATTAAGAGATAAACACACATATGACCTGAACTGTGATGGTAGCTTGGTCCAGCTGGAACCCTGCCTGTCTCACCTGGAATTTCTTGGTTCCTGTGAGGCGAGAGAGCTCTCGGAATTCTAGCTGGATGCTGGTCACCTCAGCCACTGTGCTATCTGAGGTCCACTGGGGCGGATGGGCAACTCCAGTGCCAATGTTCACATCAGAGTACGGGATCTTGGATGGTGTGGCGAAGGCAGGCATGAGCCGATTTCCAAAATCTTCCTGCGTAAGAGCACAGCAAAGAAAGTTCCAGGTCACCAAGAGCCTCGTTCACGCTTCAAAACTGTAAGGCATTGCTACTCAGGAGGCTGAGATCTGAGGATCGCGGTTCAAAGCCAGCCCGGGCAGGAAAGACCGAGAGACTCCTATCTCCAATAAACCACCAGAAAAAACCGGAGGTGGCGCTGTAGCTCAAGTGGTAGAGCGCTCGCCTTGAGCTGAAGAGCTGAGGGACAGCGCCCAAGCCCAGAGTTCAAGCCCCACGACCGACAAAAAAAAAAAAACTGTAAGGCATTAACCATTTACATCCAAGTAAATGGAAAGATAAGGTTTGATGGGGGGAAAAAAAAAATCAAGCAGAGAATGGGAGAAAATACTTGAAAATCACTTTATCTGGTGAGACACTGAAATCCAGGTTATATGTGGAAATTTTAAAGCAAAATTTCAAATAAGGAAAAGAAGCTGCAAGTGAGCAACAGTGCTTTTCCTTCCAGGTACAGCAGGGCAGCTCACACAGTGATGCAAAAGCAGTCTTAAACATATTTGAAGAGAAAACAATGTGACTCCCCAAAAATCCCTCTTCCAAAGCGGTAAGGTCTGGAAAGCCGTCGGTGTCCAGCCGAGGCAGCCTCAGGCGGCAGGAGGCACTCACAGCTTTCCTAAGGAACAGGCTGTCTCCTGACAGGTGGTAGGCACTCAGCAGGCCTCCTAGGATTCGGATGGTGCTCTCAAACAGGTTGACATCCACATTCTTCTTAAAGTTCAACTTCTGTGAAACCCACTTCCGGGCTTCTTCAAATTCTGTGACATTAGGAGAGTGAAGGTTAAGGGAACAAGCCTGTGGATCTGTCGTCTCCCTGGGTTTTTTGCTTTGTTTTGCTGGTACTGGGGCTTGACCTGAGGGCCTCATGCTCAGCATGCATGCTCATAACTGGTACTCTACCACTTGACCCATGCTGCCAGCCTGGCTTTCTGCTCCAACTACAGATAAAAGTCTCATGGGGATCCGGGCACTGGTGACTCACACCTGTCATCCTAGCTACCCAGGAGGCTGAGATCTGAGGATCACAGTTCAAAGCCAGCCCGGGCAAGGAAAGTCCGTGAGACTCTTACCTCCAGTTAACTACTAGAAAACCGGATATGGCCCTGTGGCTCAAGAGGTAGAGCGCTCGCCTTGAGCTGAAGAACTGAGGGATAGCACCCAAGCCCAGAGTTCAAGCCCCATGACTGACCCCCAAAAAAAAGTCTCATGGGGGCTGGGAAAGTGGGTCAGTGGAAGAGTGCTTCCCTTGCATTCATGAGGCCCTGGGTTCAATTCCTCAACACCAGCTAAGTAGAAAAAGCCAGAAGTGGCTATGGTTCAAGTGGAAGAGAGCTAGTCTTGAGCTGTAGAGCTGAGGGACAGAGCCCAGGCCCAGAGTTCAGGCCCCATGACTGACAAAAAGAAAAAAAAAAGAGTCTCCAGGACTCCTCTGCCTGGGCTGACTCTGAACCATGGTCCTCCGGGTTTCAGCCTCCTCTGCAGGTAGGATTACAGGTACGAGCCATTGGTGCTCAATTTGACCCATCTTCTAAATGCCCCCCTACTATGGATTCAGAGCCATTTCCCACCTCAGGACATCAGCGGTGTGCAGAGATGGAACCAAGGTAGTGGAGGAGGGCCTGAGGTAAGACAAGGGCTGTGCCACGGCACCCAGTGGGAGGCTTCAAGCCAGGCAAATGCTTAACAACCAATTTACAATGACCAAAGATCCCAGTGAGATGGGATTGCTGTGGTCTAAAGAGGACATCACAGAAATAAGGGGCCTTGGTAATCCCCTCCTCCTGATGGTCTGCAGAGTACAACTGGCGTTCCCTTTCCGCTATGCTTTGCTCTCCAAGACTGCCATTCTAAGCGGGCCTGGGCCAGACGGAAGAGCGGGTTCTGAGCATGCCAAGCTCCAGCTCATCCAACACAGGTCAGATGGAGATGGCAGGGTTCACACCCTCCCTGCTGCCAGCCATAGGCACCACTCTGGTCTGTGGGCCAGCCACAGCTACACCGTTCACTCCAGAAAGGAGCCATTACCTTGTTTTAGGCCCAAAATCCACATGGTGTCCAGGGCATCGATTAGGGTGAGGCCCAGGCCAAACCACTCACTGAAGGACCTGGACACTGGCTTCAGCTCATCGTGGCCCCATGCAAATTTGCGATATCCTTTCCATGCGTGGAGAAAGGCCTCAATCACCCCCTTCTGGCGCTCATTTGGCGGTACTGGCAGAGAGAACAGGTGGTTAGGGAGGTCCCCAGCGTGAGACAGACTAGGCCTCTAGGCAAAGAATGACTGAACCGGGGTGAATGGGATTGAACGGACACTGGCCTGAGCCATGAGGAGAATGAAAGGGGCCGGAAGGACTGAGGTAAAGCAGTTAACAGTCAGGCCACAGTGGGACCTTCAGGGGTAGACCTGACTCTGGGAAATGAGGCCTCACTCGGCAGCATCTGGGACCTGGCTCTCAGGCACAGGAGTTCCCTCCCCTCCCAGACCACAGGGTCTGTGTTCAGAGGAGATGGAGCACCACACAAGCACACTCGCATGTGCACACACGTGCACACACACATGCACACGCACACAGGCAAAAGCAAAGCTCTGGGGTTGGGAAGGTGGCTCAGTGGTAGAGTGCTTGCCTTGCATGCATGAAGCCCTGGGTTTGATTCCTCAGCACCACATAAGCAAAAAAGCCAGAAGTGGCGCTGTGGCTCAAGTGGTAGAGCGCTAGCCTTGAGCTGAAGAGCTGAGGGACAGCGCCCAGGCCCAGAGTTCAGGCCCAACCACGGGCGGGGGGGGGGGGGGGGGGGGGGGGGGGAAGCAAAGCCCTTGATGAGCGAACACAGAACCTGCAGTGTACAATGTGGACTTGAAACAAGAGACCCTGACGGGGCTCCTCAGTGCCACACATCATCAGGGGCCCCAGAGGACTAGCATCCACATGGTCTCAGGAGGCCATCTCAGAGAGATGCCACTGGGAGCTTCCCAACTGGACAGTACACAGAGCCCTCAGTGTGGGCGAAACATGTAAAGATATCATGCCTCCTCTCCATAGCCACGCCCCTCTCCCCACGAGGTTGTCAGCTCCCTGTGATGAGTAGGGTCCACTCCTAATACCACAGTGCCCTCTACATATTCCTGCAAAGCCTGATCCTGGAGTCCCAGGGTGGGCTTCCTTATCCTCTTGTACTCGGTGATGCTGAAAACACAGAGAGCAGAGTGCTCTGCAAAGCCCTAGAGTGACAGTCCTACCTGAACAATGAAGACTGGAGGCACTTATTACCTCAAAAGGCCTTGTACAGAGGTCTAGCATGTATAGGGCTGAGCACAAGTCCAAGTGCAAGCTCGCTCTCAATGAACAAAACCAAGATCCCAGTGACTTCTAGGCACTGCCCAAAGACCTGCCAGGTCCGGTCCTGCCAAACAACAGCTTTGCCTTCACTTAACCCAAGGCCCAGCATGGCCCAGGCAGAATGCAGCAAAACCTGTGTCTGCGGCTCAGGCAGAAGATCAGGGTCATTAAGAAACCGCAGACTGTCACTGGGGCTGAAGAAGGGTAAGGATTTGACAAAAGACCACAAATGGCACATGGATATGGAAGGATCTCTTTACAGGGTCTAGCAGCAGGCCACCGCTGGCATGCAGAGCACACTAACCTCCAGACTCAAACCCAGGCCCCGGTGAGACATGCAGGCCGGGTGAGAAGACTCACATGGCTCTTTCTGCATCCTGGCTGCCACCAAGTAAGGCTTGGCAGAGGCTTCTGCTCTTCTGGAAGGGAGTTCAGTGTTCTGCTCAGGCTCAATCACTGCGCCCCGCCAGCTGCAGGGAAAGGAAGGGCAGCTGGCTGGAGGGACAGCTCCATAAGCACCGTCCTCCCCCAGCAACCAGGCCCAGGGCAAGTAAGCAACTAGGAAGCCCAGACAGGCCCCAACATGCCAACACTTCCAGGTACAGCAAGGACAGGACAGGTAGGCCAAGACCACCTGGGACGTGGACAAACAGTGCCAGGGTCACCTCACACAAACTAAGGCTGAGGAGTTTGCAGACCTGTGGGGAATCCTAAGAAACAACACTGCAGAGGGCAGAGGACCAGGTAGGTAACCACCTGGTCTATCACCCAAGCCCAAAGTGAAGTTTGGTGGACACGGGAGCTAGGCAGCCTCCTAGATCGGCACATGGAAGCCCACTTTCCTTCTGGGGTTACAAGTAATGATCACCACACCAGAAAGGAACAGAGAGTTTGTCGCATGACCTCTAGATAAGGATGGGCCCAAAAGGTCTCAAACAACCTGAGCAGAATTGGGCCTTGGGTCTGCTATTGTGACTCAATTCCAAGGGCTCAAGTCAGGAGCACAACTGCCTATACTGTCATTGTGAGTCAGATGCTCTGACTCTGCAAATGTAATCAAGAGGCTCCACTGGCCACGCTCCACCCCAGGGACACTTCGCACTGGCTCCTGTATGCCTGTGAGACCCAGGCCTGTGTCTGTAAAACGCAACTCTGGAGGTGCAGAGCCCCGGCTCAGGCCAGTCCCGCCTGTTAGCACTCATCTTGGCAGCCTGTGTTCTGTGTTCATACTGTCCAGAAGAACTCAAGGTCTTGTCTAATCCCCAGTTGGAGCAGCTGTGGTGTGTGGGCTAGGGAGCAGACACAAAGGCCCACACACTGCCTCAGCAGCGTGGCGATGCTGCTCCAAGCCTGACAGGACCTAGGGCTGAAAGAAGGGCTCAGAAAGGGGTGTCTGCCAGACAGGCGCCAGCCCAGAGCCACGGATGTGGGAGGAAACACCTTTACCCCTTAGAGAAGGACAAGGACCAATTTGGTTCCCATCTCCAGTCCTTAAAATCTGACTATAACATAGCTCAAGGAAGACCACACAATTTCAAACAAAGTAGTGTGGACAAGACACCCAGTTTTCATTACAAAAACACCCCAAAAGGGCTGGGAAGGTGGCACAGTGGTAGAGTGCTTGCCTTGCATGCATGAGCCCTGGGCTCGATTCCTCAGCACCACATAAGCAGAAAAAGCTGGAAGTGGTGCTGTGACTCAACCAGTAGAGCGCTAGCCTTGAGCTGAAGAGCTGAGGGACAGCACCCAGGCCCAGAGTTCAACCCCACAACCAACAAAGAAACAAAAAACAAAAACCACCCCCTATCAACTTATATACTGTGGCCAAATAAATAAATCCAATAGAAAACAAAAACAAAACATCCAGCTGGCCTCCAACACCTGCTCAATCTGACCCCAGCACAGTAACCTGATGACTGCGTGCTGCGTGTTTTCTTCCTGGTGAGCATCCCTGGGGGGCCACCTCCTGCTCCTTAGCCACGTTCTGCATGACATCTCTAGACACTGTGTTGGGGGCTCTGATCTGCAAGTGGGGAGGTCCCCGCCGGAAATGCTTTCGAGGCTTCTGCACAAGAACCAGAACCATAGGTGAGAATACCTTACCTACCTGTGAGCTGTGTTTTAAATATCTACAGTCTCTTCTCAGATGCATGCCCACCTGGGAAAACAGAGTACACTGACATGTTCCACCCAGCCTCGGGGGAAAAATAAAGGCCAGGTATCAGTAGCTCACACCTATAATCCTAGCTACTCAGAAAGCTGAGATCTGAGGATTGTGGTATGAAGCCAGCCTGGACAGCCAAGTCCATGAGACACTTATTTCCAGTAAACTATCAAGAATCTGGGCTGGGAAGGTGGCTCAGTGGTAGAGCGCTTGCTTGCATGCCTGAGGCCCTGGGTTTGATTCCTCAGCACCACATAAGAAAAAAGCCGGAAGTGGCGCTGTGGCTCAAATGGTAGAGCGCTAGCCTTGAGCTGAAGAGCTGAGGGACAGCGCCCAGGCCCAGCGTTCAGGCCCCATGACCGCCCCCCCCCCCAAAAAAAAAAGAATCTGAAAGTGGAGCAGTGGCTCAAATGGCAAAGTGCTAGCTTTGAGCAAAAAAGCTCAGGGACAGCTCAGGCCTTGAGTTCAAGCCCCAAGACTGATTACCAGTGTCCCCCACGAAAGAAAGAAAGAAAGAAAGAAAGAAGAAGAAAGAAAGAAAAGGTCTACAGGTCTCCAAGCTGCATAGGAGCTTACCAGTGTCCCCCACGAAAGAAAGAAA